GTTCTTGAAAAGGTATTTTAAAAAAAATGTTCCGATATATTCCCATGTGAAATTTGAACACCTGCTGTGGCTAATCGATAACAACTCTGTTAATTGAGAGGATCTTTTCCTAAAAACATGTATCCCCATGAAAAAATCCCTCATTGTTGCCCACCCTATCACGATTTGAAAAATTTGGAATCTACTCTAGACATTTAAAAGCAGTTTTTACACAATCGTTATCTTTTCTTGACCAGTGGCTCAGTGACTCTTGAGTCTTGAAATATAGCACATAACTTTTCCTACTACTTTTCTCCAACCTCAAAGGGGTCGCTACCCTCATTTTAACAAATCTCATTCCCGTTACCCGAGTATCCTTTGTGGTAAGTTTAATGGGAACTTGTCCGCAGTCGAAAAAGTGTAAAGTTACTAGATGGACGGACGCAAGACATAGGGAAATCGGGAAAAAACTCAGAGAACGAAAAGGAACGATTCTTCTGATAACGTGAATTCCTGTGTAAGTTTTGTCCATTTAAGTAAATAAGGCTTGCAGTATACATGCAGTAAAGAATCAAAGTTTTACATATATATACACGGGAATATATACATATGAAGGTAAAGCCCAAAATATAACGTCAAAACTATTCATGCGTATGAAGATAGGAAAAGCTCGTATGAAAAATCTTCAGCAGAACAGCAGGCCAAGGTTATTTCGATGACCATGGCCCATGGGCGAGCCTTTTCAATTTTTTTTTAGGTCACCTGAGTCACTCAGGTGACCTATTGCTATCTGTTTTCGTCCGTCGTCGTGCGTCGTGTGTTAACATTTGAACATTTTCAGCTTCTTCTCTGAAACCGCTGAACCAATTTCAGCCAATTTTTGCATATGGCATCTATGTGTGAAGGGGAACAAAATTTGTGAATTTCATGGTCCCTGCCCCCCTGGGGCCTGAGGGGTGGGGTTAAAACCATCAAAATTAATGCAATCTTTAAAAATCTTCTTCTTTACTCCTGGACATCAAGCAGTCAAACTGTTGACATGATTGTAATAAGCATTGAGCCCTCTACCAAAATTGTGAAATTCATGGCCCCAGGGTCAGGGGTTCTGGTGCTAGGGCGGGGCTATATAGATCATATAGTGAAAGTGCATTATTTCTTTGAAAATCTTCTTTTCTACTCCTGGGTATTATTGAAACAAATTGAATACATAGTTATGATAAGCAAGGGTGACTCTACCAAAATTGTGAAATTCATGGCCCCAGGGTCAGGGGTTCTGGTGCTAGGGTGGGGCTATATAGATCGTATAGTGAATGTGCATTATTTCTTTGAAAATCTTCTTCTCTACTCCTGGGTATTATTCAAACAAATTAGATACAGAGTTATGATCAGCAAGGGTGACTCTACCAAAATTGTGAAATTCATGGCCCCAGGGTCAAGGGTTCTGGCGCTGGGGGGGGGGTATATAAATCATATAGTGAAAGTGCATTATTTCTTTAAAAATCTTCTTCTCTACTCCTTGGTATTATTGAAACAAATTAAATACAAAGTTATGATAAGCAAGAGTGACTCTACCAAAATTGTGAAATTCATAGCCCCAGGGTAAGGGGTTCTGGTGCTGGGGGGGGGGGGGGGCTATATAAATCATATAGTGAAAGTGCATTATTTCTTTGAAAATCTTCTTCTCTACTCCTGGGTATTATTTAAACAAATTAAATACATAGTTATGATAAGCAAGAGTAACTCTACCAAAATTGTGAATTTCATGGCCCCTGGGTCAGGGGTTCTGATGTTAGGGCGGGGCTCTATTTATTATATAGTGAAAATGCATTAATGCTTTAAAAATCTTCTTCTCTGCTTCTGGGTATTATTTAAACAAACTAAGTACATAATTATGATAAGCAAGGACACCTCTTCCAAAATTGTGAAATTCATGACCCCAGGGACAGGGGTTCTTGTGCTAGGGTGGGGCTATATAGCTCCTACAGTGAAGGTGAATTATTTCTTTGAAAATCTTCTTCTCTGCCCCTGGGTACTATTTAAACAAACTAAGTACATTGTTATGATATGCAAGGATGCCTCTTCTAAAATTGTGAATTTCATGGCCCCAGGGTCAAGGATCCTTGTCAAAAGGGGGGGGGGGCTCTATTGATTATATAGTGAAAAATCAAAATTTCTTTGAAAATATTCTTTTCTGCTTCTGGTTAAAAAGCAAAGAAGCTAAGTATATAGTTATGATGAGCAAGAGTGCTTCTTCCAGAGTAGTGAATTGCATGACCCCTGGGTCAGATGTGCTGGTATAAGGGTTGGGCTGTTGATAATGTAGTGAAAATGCATTAATTCTATTAAATGATCCTGTCTGCTCCTTAATGTTAAGCAGTTAAACAAAGTGATTACTTATGATGAGCAAACTTGAAACTTCTGGTCCCAGGGTGAGAGGCTCTGGTGTTTCTCGGTGGTGAAGGGGGGGGGGGGGTGGGGGTGGGGGAGGGGCTCTATTAATAATATAGTGAATCTGTAGTGAAAATGCATTATTTCTTTAAAAATCTTCTCTGCACTTGGGCATATCAGAGGCAAAAAGTGTAAAAGTTGTAATAAGGAAGGGTATTTTTACCAGATTTTTGAACATCTGGACCATTTGGTCAAGTGTTCTGGTCCTAGCCAGGGCTCAATTAATTTGCATTCTACTGAGAGGAGTTATTCCCCTTTGCCGTTTACTTTTGATAATTAATCATTGTAAATAATGTACATGAAAAATTAATAGAATAAGAGAATTATGCAAGAATTTTTATTGTATAATACAAAAAGTATTTTCATAGTTTTAATGATCATGTGGACTTGTAAGTAATAGATAAATAAAAATGAGACAAAAATAACTTGTCTTATTAAATGTTCATCAAAGACCAAGAGAGGCCAATGTAAGAGATTACAACAAGGAATTAAAATAGTACAAAAGCACTGATAGTTTGGTAATATACTGTATGGTGATAGTGATAATTGGGGAACAGATTAGAACCTAATTTATGAACTGTTAATGAATAGTAGACTAATTATTTTGTTGATCCTGGTCACCCTATCTTTCTTGCTTTTGGGCAACAAAGCTTCACCTTTCATTTCATTTTAATACTCTATGGATCCTCTAAATTGTTGTATTGTACTCAGGTGACCGTTAAGGCCCTTGGGCCTCTTGTTACATAGAATATTCATAAATTCAAAGCATTTTGAATTGCCTCGCTTTCAATTGTTTTCGTCAGATGTCAACGATTTTTCTTTAACAGTTTTCGATTGGTGTTGACATTTCAGGTCGTGTGATCCTCAGGTTCTGCAAGTCACGAAAAATGTGACTGAAATCACAGTGTGAATAAATATGTTATTTATTCAAAGATCTTCATCATGGTTAATCATATTACATGTACATGTATAAAGGGAAAATCATTAAATCCCTAATATTTTCAGGAAACATAACTGAAAGTACCAATTACATGTATGTACATGCATTTTCTACACGTGACAGAATATTAAATCATAGTAAGATGCATGAAATGAAAATTTTTGCACAAAAAAATCAATTTCAACCTTCATTTTGAGACTTATTCAATAAAATAACAAATTAAGAACTATTGTTTCTGGCTGAGGAGCGGATATTCTTTTAAAAAAAGTTCACGTACCAAGGATGTTTAGTGCATCCTCATTAAAAGAAAATTCATTACATAGTTAAGAGTTCTTTCTCCTTTGGGCATTTGTAGCTGCTATATACCGAAGTTTTAAAATTCATTTCCCCGGATAGGTTGGAATTCTAGGACTGGGTCTATTATCGTATATTTTTGATAATATCAAAGGCATCAGTTTGTTAATCAGTTTTTCTCTATATAACAGAAGGTCGAAGCATTTCTGTTTTAATTCTTAAAGAATAGCATTTTAATTAATATAGCCGAACATTTTTTAAACTTAAACCTCTACAAGGAGATTAACATCATAATGTTTTCCGCAGTCCACTCGCACAGGTTGATCCAGTGAGGTTAACCAATGAAGACATTCAGTGTAACTGAAATTAGTTTTCTTTGCATGATATTTGAAAGATAAACGAGGGTTGATTCAAAAGTAATGTAAAAACTGCTATTTCATCTTTAATAATCGAATGTTATTTACAAATTTTTATATACTAATACCTCTATATATTTTGACTTTTGCCTTAACATTTCATTCAGATATATGCAGCACTTTTTGAAATATTAAAATTAACACATTACCTGCCTCGTCTATCACCACACGGCAAGTATGTACCGACGTTGTAATGACGTTTCTCTTCGGCACTCATTTTCAGTTTTACCGCAACTAATATATACGGAAACTGGAATTAATTTAGGTATAAAATTTGGATAAATTTCAAATAATTTTAATACAACTTAAAACAAGAAGCTTTATAGCAAAATGGCTGTAAATATTTTTAACAAGAAACACATGAGAGGTTTACTAAGATATGCGGATGAGCTGAAAATAAGTGCAGAAAAGTAACGTCATAACGAGGTCGGTAACAATTTTTGCCGTGCGGTGATAGACAAAATCTTTTAAAGTTGCGTTTATTTTGATATTTAAAAAGGATTTTATATAACTGAATGAAATTTTAAAGCAAAATTCAAAATAGATAGGGGAATTAGTATGTAAAAGTTTGTTGACAACACTCCATTATTAAGGATTTTATAGCAGCCATGACATTACTTTCGGATCAACCCTCGTATATGGGTCAATATTCATAAATATGGAGAATATATATTGCCAATTTTTCAAACTCCAGCTGCACGTCTTACCCTAAGGTACTTGCAGTGCTTTTAAAGGACAATACTTAATTATATGTTTCTGCAGTTAAGAGAGTACACGTATATACTTCGCCAAATCATGCTATTCAGAAAATGCTACTTTAAGTACATTTGATTGCTTACAAGTCTCTGAGAGTTAAGCTTAGATACATATTTCAAAAGATGCATGAAAGGGTAGGTTCATCGTTTATGCATCTCTTTTTGAAGTTGAGTCTTGGATGGGTTTATTTATTCATGGGGATTCTGATCGGATCTGCTGTCGTACCAATAGCACTCTGCATGTGCTGGGAAAGACTAACTGGAAGTGGAATGGTTGCCGGTGCAGTTTCTGGAACTGTATTGGCTCTAATCACGTGGTTATCTGTTGCTGCATCCAACAAAGGCGGTCTCAGTCCAGAAAAGTTTTTTGAAAATACAGGTAATCTGTGGTTTATTTCTTTTACCAAAATAATTATTCAAAAAAAAATATTAATAATTGCAACATTTTATTGCAATAGCAATTATACAATGTCGCTCTCGCAATTAATTACCAAGAGTATTATTCTGAAATAACTAGGTAAGGAAAACGCTATGCTGGCCGGGAATTTAATGGGCATTTTGTCAAGCAGCATCATCACACCGGTAGTCAGTATTCTGACATCAACGAACGGAGTACGAAATGCTTCAGAAATTTGGGAAAATACCAGAGATATCGATAATCCTCTTAGTCCTTGGACGGAACGTTATGCAAAGTACGTATTTACCTTTGAATAAAATTCATTTTAATTTGATTATATTTCACTGTGAAGGTTTTTTATACAACAAACACTGAATCCAGAAAATAACACTAAATTCTACGTATTGTAGCGTATTGAAAAGCTTTTCATCTTCAATCATACAATGTCAATGTTATACAATTATTTGATACTTCTCTAAAATACAAATTTTAAACTTGAATTAAGCGATAAAAATAGATTAAATAATTTCCTGTATTGTATTTAAGTACAATAAGTAAACTAACTAGAGAATTTTAAATTAACCTTCCCCTGATTTTTGCACTTTTAATACCCGCAAAATCACAAAATTATCAACTTGGACCGGAAGATGCGGGTATATAAAAACAATTAGAGGGACAAGACGATCGAGAAATGGAAAAGAAAAGTGTTTTTGTTGTAGACTATAGTATCAGAAAAACAGATATTTAAACTTGCAAGAACCCATTACTTTTAATGTTCAACTGCTTACATATCACAATTACCGCACATCTTGCTTGGAAGTACATGTATATACTACGACCGAAATAGCGATGCGTAGAGCGATGACACTTCGATTTGACAATTGAAGCATGGCGTTACATTCTATAAAACATTCGTTTTAATTGGTTGATTGGGGCCCGCCCACTCTAGAACTTGTGTGGTATATCCTTTGTCTATATATATATATAGTTTGAAAGCGTCTAAAGGCCTAAAACCATATTTTTATTAGTTGATAAGCGAAAAACAGTGGTTGACTTTTTGAATTAAGAAAAAAAGGAAACAAACCATAAAATCATTCAGCATGTGATATTCTATTAACAGACGTTACATCTACATGTATATTGTTAAATGGCACACACTGCTTATCCTACTATACATGTATTTTTGCCGATTTTCTCTGCAGTAAATTGACATTTTTTCATTTTCGGTGTTCGTTAAATTGAATAGTTTGTGTGACTTTTCAGCGCACTAAAATCTTTCTCTCTAAGTTTTAGTTCCTAGTGTTTGTAAACAAGTGAATTATTACATTATTACACGCGTCGGCAAACCCAAGCAAACTGAAAACTCGGGTATTACTGTAAATCACACCGAGCTGGTAACGGTATTGAAAACAAATATTTGTAGTCAGAAAAAACGCAATATGAAACATCTGGTTTATTGACACAACTATCAAAATTCCATAGAATTTCAAATGTGTGAGTTTTACTGCATTTCTACTTTTACCAGCAGTCATGGCAAGTCGCCTGCGTAGCGCAGTTGTTAGAGCGTCAAATTTAGATTCGCATAGTAAGGAGCTGATCCTTACGTCGCGGGTTCGAATCCACTGCTGGACGTGGGGACCGCTCCTTCTGATGAGACCGTATAAACCGAGGCCCCGTGTTGCAGTAGATGTTGGCATGAAAAAGATCCCTCACTGCTCAATGGCCCTGAGTGCCGATCATAGGTATAAATTTGCAGGGCAAGTGGTGGCGTCTCCATATGGGTAAAAAATTCTCGAGAGGGACGTTAAACAACAAAGAAAACCAGCCTTTATGGCAAACAAGCGACCAGAAAATCTAGATCTCTGCGTTTTTCAGTGCAATTTTTACAGTAAATATTATTTGTATTCATTACTTACTAATAAGTTTTCACTGAATTTAAGTACTTTAAATTTTATTGATGTACTGAAAAAAAAACATCGGGGAAAACGGCCGTGTTTTTCAATCGCAGAAATATGCCCCGGGGTATCAAGTCAACTCCTAGCACAGATTTCACTTGCCATCTCACACTTTACCAACACTCACAATCATTTAACAAAGTTTTCCATTGTCCCGCTTAATTATTCACTAAAAGTCGATACTTAGCTCAGTAAACACAACTTTTTTGCCCGTTTTCAAAACATTCCACATTTGAGAATATGGGCGAATCTATAAAAATGCACCAATCGTTCTTTGTTGGATTTCGCAATTGTTATTCAGTCAGATTCAGTTGTATTTCAGTCAGATTCATTAGTGTCGTCACTCAGTGCATCACTATTTCGGTTGTAGTGAATACTGTTTTAATACTTTTAATGAATGGTCAATTGCTTAACATGTCAAAATTAAGACTGTTTAGGTGGTATTATTAGCACGTTATTTTGTTAGGTATATAAGTGGTTACCATCAGGGGTTATGCACACATCAATCTCTTTAATTTTGTCTGATTTAATTTTGATCCAATGATCAGATCACCTTTGTATTTGTGTTTACTGTATGCAACTATATATAATAGGGATTGTGGACAATACTTTACATACTTTATCATGTACATGTATGTTAAATTAATATGCTTTCATTTGCTATTTAAAGGGATCTGAAGTTGAGCGCAGCTCATCAGCTGGACAATAGACCATCATATGAAGACGTGTTTTCTTCTCTCAGGTCCGCGCGTCTTTTAGCCAATGGATGTTCTCCAATTCTCACAATACTTCTAGTTTTTATTTGGCCCAGTCTAATGCTTTTAGAAGGTGTTCTTGATTTAGCAGCTTTCAGAAGATGGGTAAGTGCCTAAATAGTACGAATGATTTCATATGGAAACATAACAATTGTGAGAATGACCAACTTTCAAAAGTAATAGTGTTATCCGTGCTTCCGAATTCAAAATAAATCATCTTTCAGGTGGCCATGCTCATGACTTTTTTTTCTCAAAACCTCGAAGTGTTTTCTAGGATTTATATAAAAGAAATAAACACCTGTGTTTGCAGTTGAAATCATGCGTAGTTTAATTATATTATTATAATTGTTGTAAATTTAGCTTAATAGGAAGATAAAATAAAATGTGATAACACTAATCCTAAATTAGAATTTGAAAAGAAAAAAAATAGTATAAGTTATAGTTATGCACATTATTTAATAATTTTCTTCGTTTATTTCAGATCTATTTAGCAATGACTTGGTCTCTGTGTGCCACAATCTTTATAATTATTGCCCCTCTTGTGTACGAAGGCATTGACCTAAGAAACGCTGTGAAGCAAATGAAAAATGTTCATCCTTCCAATGTGCGCTCTTTGGGTGCAGCGAAAGATAACTGTAATGGAGTCAACATTAAAAAGACCAACCAAGTGCATATTTCACCTGTGAAACAAAGTTTTTCAGATCCAAGACTCATTAAACAAAGCAGTAGCTGTAATTCAATTTTAGCAACCCAGGAAATATAGGAATGTTGTCCGAGTTATAAAGGCAAAGCCGTTCTTTGAAAATAGGCGTTCATTTCCGTATCTATCAACAAAGCTACGCAGAATTTTTAAACTGTTACAAGAAGTATTTTTGAGAATAGAAAAGTCATGTCCGTTTTGTTGGAATTGCTGACGATTTTAATCTTACTGTTACAAATATTTGATGATTTTTTATACCACTGTATTAGAAGACGAATAAAATGTTTTGTTATTTACTAGGTTACAGAAAAAATGTATAAAATATTGAAATATTCAAAACTCTTGCAAATGAAAAAAAAAGTAGCAACACAATTAAAGCCGAGACTATACGATATATAATTATTAGAGCCATGTATGAAATGCGGGAACTATTATTAATAGGAATCACATCATCCGTCCGTCAACACTTTGTTCTGACACGATAAATCAAAGTTGTCGATTTAACGTTTTTAGATTTTGTACACAATGAATCAAACGGTTTTTAATTTAATTTTTTCAAATCTCATACAGAAATACACAATCATATATACTGAAAGGTAAAAGAAACTCATGTATTACCTAAATGTATAAGGTTAACATTTATTACTATGCGACACAATGATAGCCAAATAAAATTCAAAGTAGTAGTCATTCATTGTCATTTATCAAGGCATACTATCGAATCAAACGATATTTTAGCACCGCAATTTTTTGACTATAGGGAGTAGGGGTCTGAATTTTTAAATTCAACACTTTGCGTGTCAATATTGCGTGTATCCTCATCCTGCATTTACAGCTGCTGGTATCATTTTTAGCATAAAATTGATCCGATTGTTGAATGTTCGAATAGGGATGAGATTTCACTCCCCGTAAGTGCTTGCCTCAGCTCATTGATGGCGTTTGAATTTACAGGCACCTGAAGAATGGTTGGTGTAACCCCCTCCTTCTGAGAATTTTAAGACACGATAACTTAGCAAATATACATAGATTCCTTATCTATCATATCAATTCTTCGATATTTGATATCATTTTCCGTTTTTGTCACGTTAAACACGTTAAAGAGATTGCCTCTTTACGGTATATAAAAATACTCAAAGTAAGAAACAAAATCTTGTAAACACTCAGGGGTGCCCAGCTTCGAGGGAGATTTTCAACATTAATACAGCATAACCGATGAAAGAAAAAGGTACGGTATAGGTCGATTTTCGCCGAATCTTGAAATATATTGATGTTTCCCTGATGAAAAAATTGATAAGTTAATATTTCTAACGATATATGATTTGCTTATATCTGATTACTTGTAACACATCGCAAATAATGATAAAAAGTGGTGTTTAAGCGATAGTAACGTCAGTTCCTACGTTCGATTTGCTAGACGACGTCAATGATGAACATATCTCGCTTGTCTCATGTAAAAGTCCTATATGTATAGAAATAGTGTACGATTGTCTGTAAAATAGGAATCAATCCATCCAAAAATATTTTAAGAAAATCATTTGCAATGAAAGAAAAAGTGAGCAAGCTCGCATACCCCACGCCCCCTCAAAACTTGACAATGCAACACATAATAAATGGCATGGTGCACTTTAAATACACAGTATAATTCAAAAAGGAGCATTACTTGCATAAAATCATCACATAAAATCTTCTTGCATATAAGAACATTTAAACCTTTGTATGTTACAAAATATGGAATCAAAATTTCTTGATAATATAAAAATCTACACATTATGTCTGAAATACCTACAAGTTTCAAAAAACCAGTGCAGGAGCTATGCTTACAATCTGTTATTTAAATTCCTCAGTCATTTCAATTTGTTAATGAGTGTAAGTCCATGTCCAATGTATGACAATTTACACATTTAAATAATTGATGAAAACAAAATTATGATGTAGTCATATAAATTTGTTTATATACTGTACTTATGAAATTATTTAATGGACGGCACTAATTTAAAGGGGGGGGGGACTTTGTGTGTGTGAGTGTGTGTGTTGAATCCTGAAAATTTTGCTCTCAAATTCAAGAGGGGTCTTTTTAGGTCATAAAATATTTCACATAAAATTTCATTACAAAAGCTGATTCCAGTGGATTTCCTTATTACCTAGCTGGAATATTTCTTCAATAATAGCCAAAACTCTAAGGGCAAAAGTAATGGAATCGGAGTTTCCTGGTAATATGCACATCTGCACACTGTATTCTAAATATCTGCAAAGTTTGACAAAATTCTGTGAAGCGATATAAGAGGAATTGCGCTGACAAAAAGTTCATCTCTATATTCAAGATGAAAAGTGACGAAATTCCCAGAAAAATAACGCAATCGGAATTTCCTGGCATTATGAACATCTACATATTGTATCCTAAATATCTGCAAAGTTTGACGAAAATATCTGTGCAGCGGTTTAAGTGTAGCTGCGCTGACAAACTATATGACCAAAAATCTAAAAAAAAAAAAAACAAAACAAAACAAAACAAGACTGACGGACGGACTGACTGACGGGTCAAAAACATTATACATGTACCCCCGCAACTTGTTGCATGGGGGTATAATTAAGTTTACACTTTGTCATTTGGGCCATGGCCGAGATGGGGTGGGTATGACAGACTTTTACATGTGCAATTGCATATCAAATCAATCATATTTTTTTACACGTGAGGTGAAGTGACAACTGGATTCCAAACCTGTTAACGGGGTTCGCTCCTGAGCTTTTGAGTAGATTTTTGTCTTGACCTCGATTTTAAACATTCTGCACAATGTTTTAGTTCTTACAATAAATTTGGATTCTACAATGCTAATTAAACTATATTCAATCAAAACCCTATGATTAAATTCCATACCGAAAGCATTAAGTGAGGAACTATATTTCGTGGCGGAAGTTTTTTTTTTTTTTTTTAAAGAAAATGATCAGTTTTTCTCTGTCGAAATAGTTACAGAATTGTTAAGTTTAGATTGCTATTTTTACATGCAGCCTGCACTCAGAGTTATTTTGTGCAGTGAAATGTTTTATGCTAGTCCTGCTAGTCCTAAATAATATATTAAATTAACCGTCATATTGGACAAATATTGCAAATATATTGTGAAAGTCCTGGGAAAAAATAGCCCACTTTAGACTAAAAATTAAACTATAAAAATTTTTTTTAGTTATATCTAAAAATTAACATCACAGACCCCAACTTTTAATTTTCTTTTGTGAATATACAAGATAATTTCAACCATTCTGCTTAAATTCAGAAAAATGTCATTTCTTTCAAATGATTTTATTGCTTGTTAAATTTTTAATGCCAGACAAAATGACATTTAATGAGTGCAAAAAGGTCAAATAATTGAATATGCGAAGTAATTTGAAACTTTTTTGTGGTCACAAATTTTAGAGAGACTATTCAAAATAAAAGACTGTGTTTGTTCCCATAATTTATTTGAATAAAAAATATTAGAGGAAAAACTTAGAAAAATTATTTATGTGTTAGACGTAATAACAATGCAAAAAGGTCATAGTAAATGCTTCTTGGCGCCAAAAGAAGCGCATTGATCCCCATTTTTGGTTTTGACTTTTAATTAAGCTATGCGTATAGATTTCAAAAATATACTTGATAAAAATTCTCAATACTTTTGATAACAGGATCCAACCTCCTTAAGCTTTTTCACAACTCTAAATACCTTTCAGTAACGATAGCAAGCCATGTTACTTTTTATGTCACCTGAGTCTTCGTGCAATGTGTGTTAACATTTGAACATTTTCAGCTTCTTCTCAAAAACCGCTCAACCAATTTCGGCATATAGAATCTATGGGGTAAATTGAACAAAAATTGTGAATTTCATGGTCCCTGCCTCCCTAGGGCCTGAGGGGTGGGCTAAAACCACCAAAATTAATGCAATCTTTAAAAATCGTCTTCTTTAATTACTTCTGAACACCGGGCAGTCAAAAACTGGAGGTATGATTGAAATAAGCATTAATAGCGATTCTCTGTAACCACTTAAACTTCTTTGCCACGCATGGTCACCGATTTTGATGAAACTTTGCCCATTATTACAACTTGACACCAGAAACATATATCAAATAAAATTTCGTTGCTATGTATCTTGGTTGCCATGGTAACAGCCAGAAAAGTTGAAAAAATTGAGATTTTCAGCTACTTTAAATCTTTATTAAGCCTTAATAAAGACTAAGAATAACAAACAAACCACTCTCACAAAAACCTGACACCTTGTTGCCACTTACGCTATAAAGAAACTATTTAGAATTTATCTCTAAGTAAGTGGTAACCATGGGTACATTTGGAATACATTTTAGATGCTGAAAAATGCTGAAAAACGCTCTATAGTCACAAATGATAGATGTTACATGATCAAACTCAATCAACAACGTTAGAAAAACAATGAAAAATATTTGACCTCATGTAATTAGGTATTGGCAATATTATTCTAAAAATAACTTTCATGGTTGCCATGGTAACACAGTGTCACCATGCAAAATCTGTCGCTATTATTGGGTTAATGCTACTATTGTGAGGAAAAACAATAAAATTCATGACATACGCATCCTTAGGACCTTGCAACACCGACAACATAAGAAAAATTGAGATTAATTGTTACTTTGCAGTGTAACCATGGAAACAACATACTAGTTGTTTAAAGTGATATTTTTTTGCTGCTTTAGGAATTTACTAACCTTTTAATCAAGAAAAATATTATTTGAATCACCTTGAATAGTACTTATCTCGTAGAACTAAAGTTGAATATCATATATTGATAAAGGTTGTTGAAAAATACAACACTGTTGCTATGGTTACCAAGAAGAGAAAATGTTCGATTTTGTTAATTTTTCGTCAATATTGGACCCTATTTGCCAGCTTTTTGCATCCAGTTTGAGATTGGGTGATAGTCAAAATTAAGTCGGGTTACTTGTTCACAAATATCAATCATTAAAGTTTTGGGAATCTACATACAACGGTACGTATCCAAGGAAACAGAGTATTTTTCAGATTTTTATGCATGTTTTTTCGCCTTATTTCCATAGCAACGCACTATTTAAAGAATTGAAATTGAATTTTTTGAAATGTGAAAATTAGGGTCACATCAAAGCCTTTAAAAATTGATCATCAGTTATATAGAAATATGCTTTTTAAAAAGAAAGGATAAGATTAAAACACTAAGAGAGTTAATTTAAAATCCGTTTGTGGTATTAAAACCATGGCAACCATTGCCAACCTATAA